AATCTAGGGAAATGGAGAGAACGAGGAAGATGTTGCACATAGAATTATAGCTGGGTGAGCGAAGTGGAGATGTGCAACTAGAATTTTATGTGATCGCCACATACCAATAAGGTTGAAGGGCAAGTTCTATAGAACATCGATGAGACTAGCTTTGCTTTATGGGGCGGAATGTTGGACGGATAAAAAACAAGATACCCATAGAATGTGTATGGTTATGTGCCTCGATTTCCCCTCAGGATCTGGATGATCGGGTGGTACGCGTCTCCGGGTTCCAAGGGAACCCGAAACTTTGAGATTGCTCTCTTGGGAACCTTGCTCAAGAGCGAGGGCAGGCATACCAACCGATGAGAGATGAATTTAAGGTGGGTTCGAGACTTACTCGGGCTAGCTCTCGTGGGCGCCCTCTTAAATCATGAAGAAATCCCCCCAGTCATAGAACTGGTTCGGAATCATCTCCCTTGACATGTACTCTCCTGTTTCTGCAATCACACACACATGGTAAATTTTACGAGACAAGTGGATCGAAAGAGATCCCACATTGGCTTTGAATGAATGTACATGGAAATGCACATCCAAAAGAAGAAAAGGGTACTAGGGTAAGTAAAAGAAGAAGAAAGAGGTAGATCAGAGGAATTTTGACGAGGTTGCGAGACTAATGCAGTAGCTAGATCAGCAAGTGATTGTCCCAGTGTGGTAGCGAGACGGGCATGGTAACTAGACTGATACAACAGAAATACTACTAGACGCTAGAACTATCATCGAGCCAGCCTGGCATAATGGTTAGCTTATCGTGGCAGTAAGGTGGGCACGACAATTAAGACCGACTTAGCGACAGTACTGCTAAACGACAAGACTACTATGGTAATGTTTGTCTCAGCCTCTCTTGGTAAAATGAGAGAAAGAAGAAAGAAGAGAGAGAGAGAGAGAGAAACAAGCATAGTACTACCGATGTCGTGCATGTGAGAAGAAGACGAGATGAGCAATGAGGGAGAAAGGAAAAAGGGAAAGAGGAAGGAGAGAAGAAAAAAAATGAAGAAGAAAGAGAGAGAAGATGAGAGAAAAGATAGCAAAGAATATGGATGGCGATGAGTTCCCGCCGTCCATGATAGAAGGGTAAGAAGAGAGAGAAGACACGGGCGGCAATGAGCCTCCGTCGGTCGTGGCAGAGGAACAAAAAGAGAGAGAAAACATGGATGGCGATGAGCTTTCGCCGTCCATGATAGAGGAATAAGAAGAGAGAGAAAAAATGGGTGACGACGTGCTTCCACCGTCCATGACAGAAAATTAAGATGAGTGAGAAAATATGGGTGACAATGTGCTTCCGCCGTCCATGACAGAGAGATAAGAAGAGAGAGAAAATATAGGCAGCAATGTTCTTCCACCGTCCATGACAGAGAATAGGAAGAGAGAGAAAACATGAGCAGTGATTTGCTTCCACCGTCCATGACAGAAGATTAAGGGAAAAGAGAGAAGACATGAGCGGTGATGTGCTTCCGCCGTCCATGACAAAGGATTAAGAGGAGAGAGAAAACATGGGCGGTAGTGTGCTTCCGCCGTCTATGACAGGGGAATGAGAAGGAAGAGGAAACATGGGCGGTGATGTGGTTCCACCGTCCATAACAGAAGAATAAGAAAAGAGAGAGAACATGGATGGCGATGTGCTTCCGCCGTCCATGACAGAAGATTAGAGAATGAGACTTTGACAGAGGCCTAGTCCGCAACTCGAGTTAAGGCCCAGCTCACTATTTGTGTCCCTGAAGCAAGAAGTCATCATGCTAGGCGATGGACTCCACCATGCATGAATAGAGAGGAGGGAGAGAGAACAGAGAGAGAGTAGGAAAGAGAAGAAAGATAAAGGAAAGGTAAAGAAAAAGAAGAAAAGTGGATAAAGAAGATCAGAGAAGAAATAGGAAAGAAAGATAGACGAGAAAAGAGAAAAAGAGAGAGATGAGAGGAGAGAGAAAGAGAGAGAGATGACGA